GCGATTAAAATGCGGTCGGTTCCCGGTCGGACAAGACCGCATGGTCGGAAATTAAGCGTTAAGCGGTCGATGTAAAAGCGGAAGGTTGGGCGAAATGAGTACTGTATGGCCATGTTTCTCCGACGAAGTCTTGACTAACAATAATGCTGACAATGGACGTTAGATAAACACTCATTGTTTGCAACTGGAAGCTTATCACCCGTTATATCAGAATCGTCAACAACGGAGTATACAGATAAGATGTTATCATTTAAACCCTTTCAAAGATAAACAATATGCAAACGGCAGTTGTAGTCTTTTCTGCTAGCGTTTTAAAACACTGATTTGAGCGACGTTATTTCGCAATTTCGATCTTTTGTAAACCTGGGATGATGTATCAAGGTCTAAAGTAAACGTTTTATCAATTTTTGAAAAATCAAGAAAAAAGTGAAAATTTCCCTTCTCGCTACCTTAAGGTAGAAGCCTACTCATTAATTTAAATACTCAGAATTCATTTTGAAATAAACTGTACTCCAAGGCAATATAAGGGTATTGATTTGAAAAAAGTTGGGGTCACCAGCCTTACTTTCAAGAAATTGATGGTTGTATTTTAATGGAAAGTTGCCATTTTGACACTATTACAAAACTTTTACCACAGGTTCCTATGCAGAGATATTATGCAATAGCTCAAAATCTAACCTGGTGACATAGGCTGAAAAAATCATATATTGTTAATAACGTATTGTCATATATTGTTGTTGTTCTAAATTATTTTAAAAATCTGGGTTTACAAATGCAATTTTTCTTTCACATTGTGTTCTATGGAATTGTTCTAAAAATAGCGATTTTTAAGAAATATTAGGACGCGTTTCTCAAAAAGCTTAAGTGTAACACACAAAATTGTACCATGGGACATTAGCTTCATGATTGTACATAATAAACTAATGAACATTGTCATGCGATTTATGACCAATTTTGTCAAAAATTATGAGTAGGCTTCTACCTTAAGTTAATACTTTTCTTGTCTGTTTCCCCTCTTGGAATGCAAACTTGTATACTGAAATGCTATCAATAATATTTCGCCCTATCAAATTAGTGAGAATGAATAAAAAATGCATTTCTCATATTTCCTGAACATTTTGTAAAATTTCAAATGCTAACAACAAGTGAACACAAAGTAACCGGTTCATTCTTACAAATTTGTAAACTTACCAAAGAACCTCTCATTCCTGTCACAAGCTTTCTGATGAACTGTTTTAAGTGTGGTGCTTCACAGCCTGCATACTTCTTCTCAGCTTTCCCGTCATCACAAGTACAACTTTTACTCAACCTACGTGCAGTTTCCTTGTTGTTTGCCACACACATTTCTAACTCTTTTGTCAATTTTTCAAAATCCGTAAATTTCTTCTCAATTCTGGCTTTATCAACAGTACACATGTCATTCATCTTCTGTGCAAGTTCCTTCTCTGTATTACAATGATTTAGATCATCTTTCACTCCAGGGCAGCTGGTACCATGGCAATCGCATTGCGATGCGGTTGGTTTACACTTCGCAGCAATTACTCTCTTGCTTTGATCACACCTGGATAACAAGTTTTGCAGACCTTCTTTCTCTTTCACAGACTCAGCTAAATTTTGATTCAATTCATCACAGTTACATTGGTCCAAATTAGGCTGTGAAAAATAGATGAATAAATGGATATTTGGTTTTTAAATGTTTTTGGAGGTTGGTGCCAGCTATGAATATTATGTCTCCCCCGTAAAATACTGACAATAGTTTATTCTTTATCATATGAATGAATGAATGAATGAATGAATGAATGAATGAATGAATCTCAATAAATAAATTGAATGAATAAATTGATGAATGAATGAATCTAAATGAATGAATCTGAAGAAATCTGAATGAATGAAGTTTACAAAAAAGTACAAACATACCTGATCTGTGTGTTTCTGAATCAAGAGAAGCAAACACAAATTATACATTCATCAAAAATCATGAAATAAAACAAATTAAATCACCTGTTTTTGTCTCATGGTTTGCGTTGTAGAATCATAATTCACCATGTCACCTGGATCAACCCATCCATCTTTATTGGTGTATTTCAGTTCAAAGTCTTGAGAAGCAGTCAAGGCCAACAAGAAGAATACCACAACGATTTCAGACAGCATTGTAACCAACTCTTATGTTATCGTCTGGAATTGTCAAAAAGAAGGACAAGCTTTAATTATTGTTATTGAATGCAGCTGCCACTGAAATCAAGTGACATCAGCACAATTCTCAGCGTCATTCAATCTCAAAATTATAGCAGGACTTTTTGAATAGTTTAAAATTATTAAATATAGCAAGCCTGTCAAAATACAAAGCTAAAAACTTAACTACTGCAATGAAAAAGTGATAATGTGTGATTGTATGACAGCTGGGATGTACATGTATAAGATATGCAAATCTCATTCCATTCCAAAATCTTCCAAAGGTTTAATAAGAGATTTTCTGAACTTCTATGAAATCTCATGTTATGCATAAAAATCTAATTACCAGTATATCTATCACAACTGTTTTTTGTTGAACTGACCAGAATCACCACTCATGATCACCAATAGCACACAATATAGTGGCACAACTAACATACATATATACAATACTTTTAGGTAATATGTGGAGGCAGTAAGTTGAAGCATTATACAACAGTGATTATACCTCGAAAAGACAAGTTATGTGTCCTTACCCATAGTGTACATGTAGATGATGGTTATTCAGCTAAAACAGGGGTACCGACTGTTGTGGTCACAAGTTGGCGCCCAACAAGATTCAAAAGTCAACAGTTCATTCAAAACCCAAAAAATTCACTAATTCCATAGCGAGTTTGCAAGTTGATGCCAACTACTTCTGAGACTTGCTGTAAAAATGGGTTTCCAATCATTTCCATTTATTGAATAAAACTAGCTCCTCTTTTCATACAAATATCCTAAAGCAGTTTTCAAAGGTAGGAAGTTTAACCACAGTCCATCCATAAAGGGACTGTGCTTTAACTCATCACTAAACTAGCCCCTATGGATAGCATATTTAATAGGCTTAGCAATTCTTTTGTATTCAAAGAATGAATGCAAATTAATACAGAAACTTCCAGGTTATGCCATTTATAACGAAAACCACTTTTCATCCTGTCTTTGATGTGCAGATAGGCGAAATGTGATTCAAGAACAAATGAGTGAAAAATATTTTTTACAAATACAGGTTAAAAGCTACACTGAAAATGCATTGGAATATAATCATACATGTCAAAGCCAAATAAGCTGTTTCCAACAAAATACTTGTTGTGTACAGCATCACTGAAAATGTAATAAACAAAGGGCAGTGTTGACACTAGACAGTAAACCATATAGTCTTGCTATATTGTGTCATGTCATCGATGAATATCTTCTGTAATACTTATCAGGTTTTTAACAGTTTACTATGAGCATTGGTTCAATAAATTTGATGTTATATTTAAATTATTATTATTATGTAATATATTATTATTATAATAATATACTGAGCATGTTATACTTTGTGCGGTTATGGCACCATCTTTCCAACTTTTTGAATTAAAGAGAAACGTATATGGTGGTCAGACAACTGGGTATTTAATTTTCATTTTCACTTAAATTGCTTTACCAGCTGGGTTGTTGTCATTGGTTACACAATAGTTAGAAATTATATATATATTTTTTTTATTTGCTCTTATAGGCCACTGGCCCCTTTTGCTTATTACAATACTGATGCAACAAATCTTTGGTCAAAGGTCAAGTACATCTTGTCTCAACTTAAATGCATTTTGTATAAAAACAGCTAAGTTACTAATAATTTCAAATGAATTACATGACATTAAAGAATAAAACTTATTTACAGATGGATTTGTATAAGCCCAAATG